CCAACCATTCTGGATTAAGAAGTCTCACTGGTCATGGTCAAATTCCAGCACATTGTTGGTACTTGTTGAGAAACCACAAAATTAACAACCAATGTTACAATGAAAGGATCACATCAAGATGTGATTCAGCATGAACGATGGGAACAAGAAGGATCCCTAGAGATTCCTCTCTTGATGGCCTATCCGACTTTGTTGAGGGTGAAAGGGGGACAAACAGCCCAACGTTCAGCACTTGGGGAGTGAGCATTTGGTTTCATGGTTCTGATTCACTACGGAAGGAAAACTCCTGTGGCAACTGAGTATAGACTATATACAAAGTTGCTAGTGTTATGTTTGAAGCATACTGCACATGGAATATAAGCATTATTCAACAAACTTTGGAACAGCCAATGATGCCTTAGAGTTATAGAGGATCAAATTCTGAGGGTGGATTTTGATGATGGTTCAACAGCAGAGAATGGAGATGACTGGGAGGATGATGTCATGGATACTTGATCTGTTCTTTCATTCCCACCTTTTTTTGGTCCAATGATTTCATTTTTTTTTCTATTTTCTTTTTGGTGTTGTTTTTCTCATGTCATCAAATCTTGCTCATGTTTCCTGGTCCTTCATTTGATTTTTTTGTTTCAATTATTGCATTTTTGCTAGTTTATCGGATGTTTTTTTTTTCTTCTCATGTTATGGTGCTTGATCATGTTTTCTGTTCTCTCATTCTCATTCTCTTTTTTTTTTTTTTGGTTCCAAGCAATCCATTATTGCTAGTTCATTTTTTTTTTCCACATGCTCTCCAGTGAAAAAAAAAAATCTCTGTATTGATTTTATTTTTTGAAAGAATTGTTCAATAAGGTTTGAATGAAAGATTCCAAAGTTTTTTTTTTTTTTTTAAAAAAAAAAAAATGACAGTAGCAGTAAAATAATTGTGACCATGAGTTCAAAATATTTAAGGGGAGGTTTGAGATCTATCACACCTTCCAAACCACAAAACCCATTACCAGCTAAATAACACACCCCCCTAGAATAGGATCCAGAATCTCAGGCGCTCTTAAATCCAAGCTGTCTCTGCACACTTGTCTGGGTGACGACTTTGCGCTGAGGAAAGAGGGCATAAGCTGACACCCGTAAGTAAGCTTTTGTCACAGTCCCGACCAGCTGAAGGGTTTTGAGATCAGCAGGGATTGGGTGTGATATGGGGCGAGGCTTGAGTAGCGGTTATAGGGTACAAGAGCTGGTGTGGAAGCCTCTCTTTCTTCAGAAGAGTGGGTTGGTAAGTCTGTATCCTGACCGGAAAAGACTCAGCTCCTGAAGCAAACAGAGAGAGAAAAAAAACTCCTCCCTATGTTTCAACAGCTGTGAAAAGGGGGAGGGGGGGGGTGGATTGCGCTACACTACCGTCTCCTTGTCTAGGGTGAGCAGGCGGACTGAAAAAAAAAATTCCCGGCAGCCAATAGTGCTAGTGTGGCTGGCAGGTATGGCAAGAGACAAAGTGGTGAGGAGTCTAGGGAGGAAGACATCAAGCTTTGATCAAGAGTAGTCTACAATTACTCTCTGGGCTACCCTGTTAGTCATAGCCCAGCCTTCATTCATGCACTCGCGCACTTGGACATAGCCCTCCTGTTGCTTCCCTTCAATCAATCTCATCAGACCTGAAACCATCTCTGAAAAAACACACACAGGGACTTATTAATCATATATGTCATTGTCTCATCATGAGACATCAGTGGTTCTAATAATTGATTCCTCTGTTCAGCTTGGTCTTGGACAAGTCTCGCTGCTCAATCTCATACACTCTATTTCATTTTTGGTTAGGATTGGATGGATGGATACGTACGGGTCCTAAACACCATCAGAATACAATACATTAGTGTTTCTCTTACAGCCACCACAAAAGAGAGAAAAACACATGTTTAGAGAGGATCCTCTCCACACCCACCCACCCACCAAACACACTCAATTCAATCCCCAACCCCCTCACCCCCCCAAAAAATTACCAAGACACCAATTAAAAAAACCCCTACAAAAAAAAAGGTTGATGATCATCAAGCACTGGATTACCAAATCATTATTATTATTATTCATATTACTGATGATGGACAATGAAGTAACAATAAAGAAAAGAAAAAAAGACCAGCCAAAAAAAAGCAAACAAACACAAGACAAGACAAACAAAAGTAAAGATGGTGGTGGTGGTGATGAAGGGTGTATGGATGAGAGAGAAGACAAGAGAAAGAAAGAAAATGGACAAGTGGATTTTGTTATTTATATATTTATAAATTATTTTGTTATTATTATTTTTTAGGGGGGGGGGGGAGGAAAATATTATTTGAGAAAAGAAAAAAAAATAAAAAAAGAGAATAAAGATATTTTTTTGTAGTTTTTTTTTTTGAAGATTATTATAAAGTTTGAAAAAAAAGAAGAAGAAGAAGAAAATTGAAGAGTAGAGGGAGTAGGTAAAAAAGAGAGATAGAGATGACGAGTGCTCCAAAAGAAGAAAAAAGAAGGGAGAGAGGAAGAAGAAGGTAGAATCAACTAGCGGTTCTAGGCCTACTACCGGCATGAGGGGAAGCGGAAGTCAAAGAAGAAGAAGAGGAAGCCGAAGAAGAAGAATGCGAATTAGAGAGCAAGGATTTCGAATTAGAGCGTTGATGAGAAAGAGGATGATTAGGTCTTTGCGGGTGAGGATGAGGCGGCGGGGGAGGGGGAAAGACACTCGGGGTAGCCACAGAAGACGAAGATGGATTAAGAGCGGGGTCAGAGAATGAGGCCGAAGAATGGGAGGAAGAGGAGAGCGAAGAGCTCAAGAAATGGTTCGGATTAAGAGAGGATGGATGGTTGGATTGACGGTAAGAGTGATGAGGATGATGAGGATGATGTTGGGCGGATTGCTGTTGCTGATGATGGTGCGGGGATTGATGATTAGGATGATGATGATGATGGTGGTGGTGGTGGATAGCAGAAGAGACGGGGCGGGGTAAGGAAGGTCTAGAGGAAGAAAGAGACGGATTAGGGGTAGAAGAAGGCGGCTGATGAAGATCGAAGCGACTATCGATCGAGACCAAGGGTGTCGCTGGACCTCCTCCTCCTCCCGCTCCAGATCCAGTCGTACTGGGTCTGCCAGCACTATTAGTCTTGACATGTCCACTACTGTGACTCTTCCTAGCCACCATGCCCCCGTTCCCACTGGCTGGATTCTTGGAATCCTGGGTCTGGCTGGTCCGTCCGGGGTGCTGTTTCGCTTGTCGCGTCGCCGCGGCGGCTATCATCTCTTCGTCCGGCTCGGATGACGAATCATACTCTACCTCCGAATCCGAATCTTCATTGATGTTCTCTTTCGAGCCTGCATTATCCGTTGATTTTTAATTCCCGGTCTTTCTCGAAAGACTCTCAATAATCATTCACTTACGTGAAAGTTTATTATGTTCCATTAACATATCAGCACCAGTAGCCGAATACCTACCCGAGAAAAAAAAAAGGAACAAGTGAAAGACTTGAAGTTGAGTGAAGGAAAAGAGAGACACAGAGAGAGACGAACAACATGGTCTTTCCTACTGATACGTTTCTCAGACACACAAGCCACAGAAGTGGATTTAGAATGGGCGCCTAAAGCCGAGCCAACCGGATTAGTGCTGCCCGTCGTTGATGAAGGATTAGTCGATGCAGCTCCAGCTCCTGAAGATACGGACGGGTTGTTGATATTAGAACCAGATGTTTCAGATCGTCTGGTAACTTAAATCGCGCTCGATTATCACCATCGATATGGAAAATCCTATCAAAAAAACCACACACATCAATTTTCGTCTTTCTCTTCTTAGAAAAAAAAAAATAAGAAGTAAACGAAGAAAGGGTAAAAAAGAAAACAAACAAATCGAATTCCTTAAGCAACAAAGCAAACAACGGCGCAGGCATTCCAAGGGTGGGCGAGAAGACGATACCGACGTTACGGAGCGACATCTTGTTGATCTTCTCGTTCTGGACCACATGGATCAGATGGGCGGACAAAAACCTCAACAAGGTGTAGTTCGATAACGGGAGTTCGGAACACAATCTTCCAAGTTCGTTGACTTTATCACTTCGTTGTGAAAGATCTATAAAAAAAAATAAGAGACAAAAATTAGTTTAAATGTAGCAAAAGAAACAAGAAAAGAGACGAACCGATGACTTTAAGGAATTCTCCATGAAGTTCTCGAGTAAGAATCGGCGACGCAAGTTCTCTAAGGAACTGTTTAAGGAGTCCAGCGACGGCATGAACGTCATGATACTCGTCCTTGGAAGATTCGAGGAGGTTGAAGTCGCCCTCGGTATTAAAGCGTTCCTTGTACCCTTTGATGATGACGGATGATCCAGAGAGTCGATAGATGCCTTCCTCCTCGATAGCCCCTTTAGCTTCCAAGAACTCCACACATCTGAAGACGATAGCAGGCAGATCTAGGCCTTCATGAACCCGAGCAACGGAGACGGCTTCTTGTAAGGACACGCCAAAGACCGGGCGAGGGGTAGGTGCAAAGAGTGCGGGCGATCCTAAGCCGCCCGACGTCCCGCCTGACTGTCCGCCTCCGCCTCCCCCTGCTCCGCCTCCTCCGCCGACGCCTCCGCCTCGCTCCGTCGTCCGGCCGGCAAAACCCCAAAAGGCCGATCGGAACTTGGCCTTCTTCTCTTCCGCCGGCTTGATCCGATAGCCGCCCGTGATCGGCGCCCCATTCATGGGGCCTGAGATCTTTGGCCGTTGTTGAGACTCCGGGGTCATCGGTCGTTCTAAGGTGGTGATCGAATCCCCATCCGAGCCTACGATTCCTGACTCTTGTTGTGGTGAGCCTTGTTGGATGGTTTGTTGGAGATGTCGATTCTGGATGTTCGTCCTGGGTGTCAATGGCACTGCATTGCTTGACTGTTGTTGCTGGGATTGTGACTGTTGTGATTGTGAGGGTGGCTTGGATGGTTTTTGAGCTTCGTTGTTGTTGTTACTCGTGCTCGGTGGACTACGGGCATCCACCAAGGTAGCCGAACGGTTATCGGAGACAGCCGATTTATGTCGGACAGGTTCTGAGTTCGGCGGTTGTGGTTGTTCAGAGGATATCTTACGTGTAGTGGTCGAGTTCGACGACAGAGGTTCTTCCAAGATTGTAGGAGTTGGGTTCTCAGTAGGATGAGACGAGGAGGCAGAGGGGTTGAATGAAGAGGAGTTGATCGAGTCCGTACGAAGATGAGCGTTTCTGCTCGATTTGGACTCGGTCCGTAAGTCGGAGGAGGAGGAGTGTTGGTGGTGAGAGGAGGTGGAGGCTGGGTGTGGGCCGTCGGCTCTCGATGTACCGTCCAAGGAGGTTTGACGACCAGGACGGTTGTCGGAGAAGGAGGAATAGGAGTTCGAGTTGGGTGCTGGACGAGAGGGAGTTGAGTCGGGTGATGAGCCACTAGTAGCAGGTGGGATCGATGCGACTGCTCCAGGGTCAGCGGAGACGTATCGGCCGGTGACGTAGCAGGTCAGAGCATCCACCCAAGCGTCCCGCTCCTCGTCCGTCTCTGCACACAGGATGTGATCCACCTCGCCTTCCTTCTCTCGCTTGTGCATGCGAATCAGAAACGCATGGCGGTAGGAATCGTCATTGATCTCTTGTGGGCGAGGCTGTTGTCGTCCGATCTGAGCCCCAGTAATCACGATATGTCCTAATCGATTGCCTCCTCTGGTGTCAAAGTACTCGAGAATCGGCCCATCCAAAACGTAGAATCTGGTCTGCCATCCTCCAAAGTTCCTGCCTTTCTTGGTGAGGTAGCCTTGCATGAAGCCGGGTCGATTGGGTACGCTCGCTCGTTCACTAATCACGATATTCGAATTGAAGAAATCGCAGACGTCTCCCTTCTCTTTTAGTTGAGCAGTACACAAGCTCTGTAGGTATTTTTGGAGAACAGCCTGGGTGGGATGATTGATTGGGTGGGATCAGTTAGTAAGATGGGACGAGAGTGGAATAGTGATGACGATGATGATGACTTACTTTACGAGCATCCACCTTACTCGGAGCATGATCCTTGAACAGGGCACGATCGGGCAGTTGAGCGAGAGCTTTATTTTGACTCTTCGAGTGTTTAGATTTCACCAAATGGTCCAAGGTGAGTACGTCCGAGTAAAACTTTTCGACGACCCAGCTAGCCTTAGCCCCCTTGCGTTCGGGGTCACTCTCGGGAGGGATGATGATGTTGATGTTGATGGAGAAGGAGATGACCTCCTTACTCTTCTCATTGGCTCTGATGTGAGAGTTGGTGACCTTGATCTGGGTGAAGGGTAGGAAGGTGGGTGTGAGCATCCGTCGTTTGGCGGTCGGTTGAGCAGAGTGGGGGAACGAGTTGGCCGCAGGGGTTGAGGGTGGTTGTTGCTGCTGGTGATACTGCTGTGGTTGCTGTTGCTGGGAGGATGTCGAGGTGGAAGAGGAAGAGGAGTTGTGGAGTGGAGGCAGGGGAGGTTGAGAGGGATGAGTTGGACTCAAGTTGGATCGAGAGGAGGATGAAGAAGTTTTGGGGATCAAGTTAGATGATGATGATGGATCTTCTGACTTGGAGGATGAATAGGCTGGGATGGTGAATGAATCTGATTCTTGTGGTTCAGGATTCTCGGTGAGGACTGGCAGTTCGTTGGACTCATTGCCGCTGAGCGATAAGGATTCGATGGCCTCGATCTTATTGGCTGGGTTGGTGGTAGTCAGTTTGGGGATCGAGCCCGAATCGGTTGAGAGGGTGGAGGCTGATCTGTTTGGGGGCATGGATAGGGTGGACATGGGAGATGAGAGTGGTGGAAAGACTCCAGGGTGGTATCTGGTGGAGAGTAAGGAGTGGTAGAGGTCAGGTGAATGTTGTTATATTGAAGAGTATAGAGTTGAGAGAGAGAATGGGGACGTACTGCCTGGCTTCTGGGGGTAGGACACTGTGACGATGAAAGTGTTTTGAGGAGGGTTGCTGCTTGGAAGTGGGGTGGAGGGAGAGACGAAACTTGTTGTTGTTGTTGTTATTTTGGTGATTGTTGGATTGATAAGGTTTGAGGCCAGGGTTGTTAGGAAGTTGATCGGATTGTTGTAGGGAGGAGGAGGTGGATGATGAGAGACCGAGGGAGGTAGTAGCTGAGTCGAAGATGTTGGGTACTGAGTTTGAATGGGAGATGGTAGGCTCGGTTGATGGATAGTGATTGTTAGGCTTGGATATATCGACTGAGGGAGGTTTCTTGATGTTGTCGAGTTCTTCGGTCGTTGGGG